CTCTGCCTCCCGAGTGCTGGGATTCAAGGCGTGCGCCACCACGCCCGGCTAAAATTGCCTTTTATCCCTTTGGCCTTTATCTCTCCAAGCTATCTCTGCTCCCACTGTTTCTGGCAGAGCAGGGGAAGTGTGCTCAGTCGCTAGGCAACTTGGCTAGGCAACTTCTGTCACAGCTAGATATACCTGTAAGTAGGAACCCTCTAGTTCTGAGTTAATTGTTAAGGGTAGATCTAAAACTAGAGATAAGACTTTGGAAAGGAGAAAGTTAAACTTAATAAGCACATCCACCTGGCCTTCTCAAATAGATAGTCTGAATGCTTAAGTCTGTTCTTAGAGAATACAGAGGTATCTCTGATAAGATACTTTCATCCGTCTGGGGATGGTCCTAGCCGGATGCTGCTAATAATGATACTTACACAAAGGCCTGAACTTAGGGATCCTGGCTGTGTACAGACAGTTATCTAAATATTCCATTAGTAGAGGGGAAATTGTGCCCAATGAATGATGGAAAAGCTACAATAACACACAAGAAATTCATAGCAGGAAATGGCTAATAATCAAAAGCCAATATCACCAAGACTCCTTGAGCCTTGGTTTGACCTCTGGAAGGCCCTTGGCTTCTTCCAGGTATTAGCATGTAATAATCAGCTGATATCCTACTTCATATTATTGTGGCTTGCAGCAATAAGGATGACTCAAGCTCATAAATAAGTGTATAGGAGAAGCAAAGATGGAAACTGGAGTGTTTGAGTCCTGAAAGGTACTCTTTCCACCACTTGGATGACCTTGGGAGAAGCATTTATGGATTTGAATCAGATGCCCTTGGCTTGAACTGCTACTTTTCTTGTTAGCTATGTGACTTTTGACATGTCACTAACTGAATCTTAGTTTTCTCATCTTCAAAAAGACTATTCCTACCTTTAGGATCACTGTGAAGAGCTCATTTATGTAAAATGAGTAAGACACACAGCTTAATACCTGGCATACAGTAGGCAGATGCTTAACACATGAGGTATAACAATCTGAAAAAAAACCCACTCTCCCTGTTTGTAGTTATCCCTATACTTCCTTCATTTGAATTTTTTGGAAATAAGATATCATGTGTATCATGCAGCTCAGGCTGGCCTTGTAATCTGTAGGCATCCTCCACCCTTCAGCTTCTGCCTCCTGATTGCTAGGGTTATGGGCATGCATCTATGAAGTCCTGCTTTGTTTCTACACTTAAAGGTGAAATGATGAATCAGGTGACTTTCTGGCATATTTAATGATGCTGCATGTCCTTGATTAACTATGGTTCCTGTGAAGGAGTGTGTGTGTGCTTGTGCATGTATGATAGTGCACCTGTGCATGCATCTCTTGGTGGTATTGATAAGATACAAAGCATCTGTCTTCTGTATGTGACTGGAAACTGACTCATGACAACTGAAGAAGTGAATTTTAACTTTGTGATGTGGCTGAAGCCAGAAGTCCAGGCTTTTACTTTCCAGCTGTCCTTAGCTTGGAGATCGGGAAGGTTTGGGGGCAATTCCTTTTAGCAAACACAGCCAGCCATTGACTCACTGTTTTCAGTATACTTTATTTGCAATTAATCATTCATTCTTGAAATATTTTAGAATAGATTAAAATCAGTACATAAAATAAATCTCCACTGCATTTATTACATATGGCACAGAATAACACCACTTTATAAATATGTTTTATCAGTGCACAAAATGGGAGAACCCTTTTGCTAAAAGCAGCCCAGTCAGAATGATTGGACTATGGTAGCATTTCCCAAAACTGACCATGAGATGGCAATGTGGCCAAATAGATGATAAAAGCTTTAACTGAGTCTTCCTTAACAATGGCATTAAGTACCTTATATCTAGAAGAATCTATCATTCAACTTAAAGAAGAGTGAAGTTTGTCACTCTTTTAGTAGTATTAACTACACATGAATCCTTTCATCATGGATCCATAAATCATTAGATGGTCATTTTTTCCCCTATTGTGGAGAGGACTGTATCTAAAGAGCCATAGAGGTCAGGAAGTACCCAGACTAAAGAGAGGCCTTAAGTTACCATTCAATTTAAGATTAATACACTGAATACAGACTATTGTTTTCAACACCCTGATAGAATTGTGTTAAAAATTTTCCATATAATTAAAGCAACTTCCAGTTTATTTAAAGGGTATCTCTGTTACACAGTAACCTCCTTTGGCAGTCATGGACAGTCATAGGAATATTAGAACATGAATTCACATTTAGATCAACATGATTCAAACATGCACAAGTGTATGTTTTCACCGACTTGCTCTTCTTCCATATAAATATATAAATATTGAATAAAGTGCATGGGAACATGTCTGTACATATATACAGGTACACATTTTCTTATATACACTTTAATAGATAGTTACAGAGAGAAAAACCACATACACACTGGTAATATATGTGTAGTCAAAAGACGTCTGCCAGGCAGTATTTATGTTTATTCTGATGAATTAAATTCATGGGATAGAATCTGTAATCTTTTCCTTAATGCATATTGACATGTATAGAGTTTTAAACTAAGGCAAAAACACATTAGAGCAGACTTCTTAACACTTCTATTTTTATCAGTCATTATATCTAATCATTAAGGACTAACTCCTTTCAAATACAACCTCAGTGCTAGTGACACACTATAAAGTCTATGTCTGAAGCAATGACCATCATTCGAAGCACCTGTAAGGACACATTTGGGAAAACCTTAATGCATTTCCAACTTACGTAATAAAGCTTTCTACATTTTTTAAATTCCCAGACCTGTAACATTTCCCAAAGGCTTACAGCAAAACACCTTTATATTCAATTAAAATCTTTCAGATTTTACCCTGTATCTATTGTCTGTCCCAACAGTAATGTGCAATTCACCCTTGTGCATTACAGTGTCCAGGTGGACTGTGGCTGACCTTTGTTAGTCTGCAGCAGCCATTTCTACAAAACATTATGGTAACTGATATTTGCTTTTTAGTTGGGAGCTAGTGTCTTTCAGTGTAAAACGAATGTAGTTTTAGAGGGAAGGAACAGAAATATTGCTTTAACTAGTCATGAATTGGATCCAGTATGAGGTGTTTATATATTAGTTGAAATCCTTGATTCAATTGATGTTTTCCCATTTCCTTGCCTGCTTGGCAAATGAGAAAAACTGAAAAAAAAAAATATTGGATACAAACTCTTTTCTGAATCAGGTAAGAAAGAAATTGAACTGGTTGATTCTCAAAATAAATCTGTTCATACTTTTTGACAACAACCAATTAGATTGGCATTTTTTAAATGCAAAGATCTTATAAATTTATTTTTATATCCTTAATAACTAAGAAACTGTTCCACTCATAAGATACAGTCAGTAGATCACTGTGGAACCAAACTAACCCATTTTAATAAATAATATAAATACATTATTTGAAAGTATCAATTTTAAAAAAGCCTATATTTATTTATTTACTTTTTGGAGACAGAATTTCATGCAGTCCACGCTGACCTCAAACTTGATAAATAGCTGAAAATGACTTTGAATTCCTGATTCTCTCATCTGCACCTCCCAAGTGCTAGGATTACAGGCATGCACCACCATGACCTGTTAACTCAGTACCGGGGAACCAAGCTAGGGAGTGCTTCCTGCATGCTAGGTGAGCACTCAATGGAGCTATATCCCCAGCCCTTTGAAAACATCACTTTTACCTGATTAAGTGTCAATAGGAAAGTCACTTGATTTTTTTTTTTTTAACAGAAATAGCCTAAGAAACTACTGCTAACAGCGAGAAACCTGAGTTTATTGTTTAGCTGTGACAGTCAACTCTACACACAGGTCGCAGCTAAAAGGGCGCATGCGCAGTGCAGTGGTTCCATAGAGAGTGACCAAATACCTCCACGATGCTGTTTCTTTGAAGCGAGTTCTAGAACTGTATTTCGAAAAGCGAAATTATCCTTTGATAGTTCACAGAGAAGAAAAGATACGAAACAAGACCACACTGCAAATTCAGATAAAGCCCAAGAAGTAGAAGAGAAAGCAGCGCGTCATTGAGTAACATTTAAAACCCTTCCACATCCAAGAATTAAATGACACACGCAGCAAATGCCCGCGATCTTGTGAACATTTCAAAATGGTGTCTATGAAAAGGCAAGAATGAAAAATATTGTCAAGTATTTCAATTAATTATATTAGCAATACAAATTTCATAATACTATTTTTTATTTTCAAAATATGCGTCATGGTGAATTTTAAATGCTTTTTATTTTTTTTTTTAAAAAGAGGCTATTCATTATTTTCAGTATTTCTAGCTATTTTTATGTACAATAATAGGTCACCAACTCACTCCCATGCCACCCATCAACAGCATGGCAGCAAGGTTTCTATTTGATAATAGAAATTAGATTGGTTTTATGCCTCATTAAAATTGTACAATCAAGGACAATGGTTTTAAAGATCTCATTGACAATATTAGAAGGACAATGATAAAACCAACACTTCTACCTCAAATGCTGTCAGGACGTCATTGTCAAGTGCACATTTTGTGACACCCTGCTCTCCATACACAGAACCCAATGAGGCGTATGGACACTGTTGAGTTACTGGAGTAGTCTGATGTGTCCCAGCCTCCTTATCCCAGCCCCCACACACAAGGTAACAACTAGTTCCAGTGCAGTTATCACAGCAACCAGTCCATCACACACAGCTGACTGTTTCGTTCACGGTGTTGATATTGTCTGTACAACTCTCTTCTGAGTGCTGTTTTCCTAGTGTAACCATAGAGCAGTCATTACCGGTGGTAACCACAGAGCAGTCATTACCGGTGGTAACCACAGAGTAGTCATTACCGGTGGTAACCACAGAGCAGTCATTACCGGTGGTAACCACAGAGCAGTCATTACCGGTTGTAACCATAGAGCAATCATCACCTGTTGTAACCACAGAACAGTCATTACCTGTGGGCTCAGCATCTTCCTGTGAGTTCTTTTTTTGTCCTGCGGGGAGCTGACTAGACTTGTAGGCCAACGCCGGTATAGTGTTCACTAAGATTAACTGCAGCGGCTTTCTGTTTTCCTTGTACTGACACTGAATGTACCGCGAGAAGGCAGACCTATAAGTCTTGTTGAACAGCGTATAGACCAGCGGATTGACAGCGGAGGAGAGGTAACCAATCCAGACAAAGACATTGAGCAGGGCTCCAATGACGTCTTCATTGCAGGACTCTTTGCAGATGACGGCCATGATGTTGGTGATGAAGAAGGGGCACCACATGACCACAAACAGAAAGAACACGATGCCCAGCACCTTGCATGCTTTTTGCTCATTGCTGATGGACTGCATCGTCCTCCGGCCTGCGTAGGAGCCCGGCTCCCTGTGGATGGACCGCTGGAAGAGCTTTTCGGATGACAGAGAACTCTGAGGGAGGAAGCTGAAGGAGGCTAATTTGGCCCGAGTGCTGAGGTCACTCACACACAAGGTGGCTTCTTTCTGAAGCGACTTGATAGTGAGGAAGTAGGTGATCACCATGATGGTTAAGGGGATGAAAAATGCGACAAAAGAACCTATGAGGACGAAGTTGTCATCCGCGAGCAGGCAGCTCCCCTCCTTAAAGACCTTTGAATCATCCTGCAATCCGAAGACTGGGATTGGCATGGATATACCTGGAAGAGATGGAAAGCGAGACACGTCATCAAGGAACTGAGGCTATGAAGGTGAGAACATCACCACATAATGCTGGCTGGCCAAAGAGTTTATACCAACTTACTTTAAGGTTTCATATGTTACTGCAGTTTATACCGACTTACTTTAAGGGTTTAATATGTTACCACAACGAGAGTTGGGCTAATTCTTACTCTATATTTATTTATTAGCTGGAGAAAACACACACAGAGGCAAAATGAAGTAAATAAAAATGACCACCTAACACCTCCATTCAGAGATCAACAAACAAACTGCCATAGATAATTTAATGCTGTTTGTTTTAAGGGCATTGTGCACACATACCCTCACGCAGGCACGCACTGGGAAACAGAACAAGTTACTGCTTTAGCTACAATTTTGTAACTTTCCATTGCACATTATATTATCAGCATATCTTACTTACTTTGTAAAGTTACAAGCCTAATATATTTTCTTTCTAGCAAATTAGAAAAATATAAAAAATAACAGTGACTAAAGGAAACAGTATTTATTCTCACCACCAAGTGGCATAGGTTACATTTCTTTTGTTTACACAGTACTGTATATGTAGTTTTAGATCTTCCCTTCACACCTAATATTCATTATAAAACTGAATTGCTTTTGCTTGTTGAGACAGGATCTTGCACTAGCCCAGGCTGGCCTCAAACTCACATTGATTCTCTTGCTTCAGGCTCTTGAGTGTACGAACCAACATGAACCGTTTTAAAGTTAAACAGATTTTTAAACTATTTTTGAAAAATACTTTCTGTTACTAATTTCAAGTAATCCAAATGAATTTGGGTTAGTTTTAAAAAGCTTTTATCTTGGAGAAAACCCAAAAAGAACAAAGGCAAATGCTGTCCTAAGGAAATCTTATAGCTTTTACAATTGTGAACTCAATGTTGTGTCATCCAGGTCCTTACCTGGGATGTCTCTCAACCTCAGACATCACATGATTAAACATGTACACATCTTATTCTGTAGATCTAAAAGTGACACACTTTCAGAGAAATCTATGATCACATCCTGGTTTACTCCTAAAGAGAAATTTAGTATTTCCTTCACATCATAAAATATAGAATTCATGTTCGAACTTCCCGTTGTTCCATAAAAGTTAGTTATTTTCATTGCAGAATGTCCATTGGGATGAATCACCCCAAACAAGGCAGCCGCAGACTTCTATTGTTAAATGTATGACTTAGGTACAGAATGCTATTGTACGTGGGAATAGGAGCTTACAGCCAGTCAGTTGCTCTGTACTTGGGTTTGGGGTATCTATCACGGTCCTCCAAGTAGATGCTCTGGCAGAGGACTCTAGCAGTGAGGAAGGATCACAGTTGGCTCTGATCATGCTAATTTCTCACCATGGTGATTGGACCCTACTTAGTGGAGGTTAGCTTGACCACCATGGGAGGTTTTGTTTCCTTTTTGGAGCTCAGGAGAGCTGAAGGAGGTGGTTAAGCCAAAGCAATCATGGTACACTTCTTATTCTGTTTTTTTTCTCTGCCACAATGGCAGGGTCAGGAGGAGGGATAAGGAGAAGAAACAATTGCACAACTCAGTTCACACGCGGAGAGATGCTGCTTCCTTCCTACACTTTCCTGTATTTTCAGTTTCCTGAGTTGCATGACGGAGGGCCCTGGTATTGCTTCCAGCCACTCTGTAGCCCAAGATGCTGCTCTCAGGCCAGCTCATCCCAGAGTCAGGGACCACTGTTTAAGCCCTGCCTTGTCATCTGACGGGAAAAAAGTTTCCCGTTGAGGAGGTGTAATACAAACGCTGAAGCAGCAGTAACAACAACCGAACAAGAGGAAAACAACCAAACTCTGCATGGTCAGAAAGGGTTTGGCTCTCCCCAAACACAGGTGTGACTATCCTCACACCCTGCTGTTGGAAGGGACAGTAGCTGGAACTTAGAGTGATACTTGACAAGAACATCTGTCTGTCTCCCTCCCCTCCCCTCCCCTTTCCCCATTTCGTGTGTGTGTGTGTTTGTGTATGTGTGTGTGTGTGAGAGAGAGGGGGGGGGAAGGGAGAGGAAGGGAGAGAGAGAGAGAGAGAGAGAGAGAGAAAGGGGGAGAGAGAACTTGCCCACCATTTGGGCCCATGTGGGAGCCAAAGGCTGACATCTCCCCCAATCACTTCTTCACCTTATGTTTTGCGACAGTCTTGCACTGAACTGAGAGCTTGCCATTTCAGGCAGACTGGGTGGCCAGTGAGCCCCTGGATCTATCTGTCTCCATTCCGTCCCTCCCTCTCACTGCCATGCCCAGACTTTTGAATGGGTTGCTTAGGTCCAAAATCAGGTCCTCATGCTTCCGTGGCATGCACGCTGCCCCCAAACTGTTTTCCTAGCCTGGTAAGGCTCTTTCTGAGTGCCATTTGCCCACAACTCTACAGGTTCAATGATGATATTTGTCACTTGTCTGTGCAAAGCCATCCCAATTTTCTTTCTTTTTTTGTTATTGTAGTTTTGTTTTGTTTTTGGAAAGTGAACATCAATGACATCAGGGATACTTTTGTGGTAAATGCCTCTTCATTTACCACCTGTTTGTCCCTGCCACACTGTTGAGAGCATCCTTTGAGCCACAAGTTGTGGCTGCAAGGGTACCATCCTCTGAGACCTTCTGATACCTCACCAAATTTCAGTCACTTCAGAAAACTAACCATAAAAGACAACCTGTGATTTCTAAGATCACTTTCTTTTTCTGCCAATATTTGAACTCACATCTGTGAGAGATTTTTTTTTTTTTAGTGCTCATCCAGTCTTATTATACAGATTCCTTGCATGCTGATTAGAATGGATACACTGGACATCCATTTCAGATGGACTTAGATTTTAGTCTTGGCTAGGGCTCTGGTCTCCTGGTATGAGGCTGGTGCCAGCATGCCTTCATGGATAGAATGAGGATAAAATGGATCAAATATGCAGAGCACCAGGGTGGTGCCTGGTCTAAAGGAGATGGAAACAAATGGCAAAGCTGGCCGCAGTACTTTTCTTTGTGGAATTACTCAGAAAAAAAAAGATATCAACATTATTTTGTTCTAATCTATTGCTTAGTTTTTCTATGTTAGCCCTTTATATAACAGAGTTTGTAAACCAAGAGAAACAAAATAGTGTTTTGGCTGTTTACTATTGGCTATGTAACAATGATGTAATTATTAACTTCTGCCAGGGTCATATGAGGTCTCAATCAATTTTAATTTGGTATGGCTAGCACTGTTGATTACTTTTCTAATGTGATGGATTACAGCCATTACTGTTAGTCATGATGCATATAAACAAAATATCAACTGTCCAAAAAGGTATATGATTTTATTATTAAACTCTTGGGTGTTCATTTTCTTGATTAATACAAAGGAAGTTCCCACCTTGAAAGCCTTTTGCCTTACTACTTATGACCTGGTAATTTATAATGAGTGGTCATTTTTAGTGAACCAGAATGTAGGCCAGCCTAAAGCACCCAATTCCTCAATCATTTGGAATTTGTTATGGTGTCTTGGGTTGGTGAGACACATAAACTATACACCCCCTGTGGGATGTTTTGATTTCTGCAGCCCTGGAAGGAAAGGGTGGTGGAACCCTTCACATGGATACAGAGATTCTCCCTCTAAAAGTGTGAGATAAAGAGCTGCCTCGGGAGGACATGGTAGGAGGTCAGGGGCAGGATGCTTTTGTGCTTGGGGAGGACACCTTAATTTAGATGAGGAGCAATCCAGCTCATGGGTCTTCAAATGGCCCATTTTTTCTCATGAGTAACAAAACTATCTTGGTCACAGCAGTATACTATTTATTTGTAGTGTTTCTTCCAAAAACACGGTGGTCAGCAAATATTTGTTAAATGCTGGTCGGAAAGTTAAAGCAGTATTCTAGTAAGAGGGGAAGAAACTTTTGTTAAAGAACTAAGGCATGGAGATAGGCTTTGTGTGTACAATAAGGAATGCTGAAGCATGCTCCTACCAAGAGAAATGAAGAATGCTGGCTGATGGCCGAGAATCTGGTCACAGTCATCTCAAGTGCATTAATTTTCTGGCAGCTTTGTTTGATAATAGTGGCTTTTGGAGACCTGACATCTTCTCTCACTTGAAATTTCTGCATATTAAGCATTTTGCTTTATGAACAAACAGTCGGGAACTTGAACTACGTGACTCTGCATTTTGTTTAATAAGTTTTTTTTTTTTTCTCGAGGAGTAGAGAACAGCAATCAAAATTCACTAAAGGTATTGGATCTTTTGTGCACATTTTTTTTAATCCTCTACATTAACATTCAGACAGTGAAGTGAACGGGGAAACACGGATACTAAGAACACAAAGGCTTTGGAGGATGTTCTCTTTGAGCTCCATTGCTTGCTTTGCAAATAAAGTTCACATCTCTACCGAGCATCTTAACACGGGCTAAAGAATCTTAACTTTGAACTATTGGCTGTGACAGATGGGCTTTCTCTTTTAATCCTACACTTTTATCATTTAGGATCTTGTGACTAATGGTTTTTTTTTTTTTTTTGTGGCAACTACTTTTCTTTAGATACAAGAAGTTTGAAGTACTAGGTAGCAAGAGTCTCATGGGACATGAGGGTTGGAGGGAGGCTTTCAGTCTATAGAGAGCAGAGATGATGGAAACAGATATTTCAGGAACTTGAGGAAAGTTTTGAGTCATGGGTTTCTTTGCATTTGAACACTTGACTTTTTTTTTTTAATTATAAGAGGATATACTGGCCCTTTGACAGAAAGCACCATAAGTCAATGCTACAGGATAATCTTCAGGCTGCAGGGAAGAGGAAACTGAAGATAGATGGAAAACTGGAACAGCACTCACCAACCTACCAGCTCCAACACATGGTAATAGTTCAAGATATTTTACACACATGCATTCACGATACATTGACTTTTTAACAGACTGGAAAACATTACCCAGACAACCCTGAAGGTTGATGAGAATTTTGCCATGTGGAGATGAAAGTCGACCCTGACCAGCTTACA